CCAAGAGGGGATGGCCACACCACAATCCCTTCTCCTCCATTCTCCTCTCGGGATCTTGGGCACGCACGCACATGCGCCCGGCGTGAGTTTTAAGGGACCGGGTCCGGGACACGAACCGCGGTTGACTACCTGGGAGTCCAGTGACATAGCCATTACGCTAACTGCTGGTCCCCTCTTTCTCCTAATTCTGATCTCCCCGCGTCCCTCTGTGAGAAGCTAGCAAACCTGCAGAAACATTTTTTAAAAATATGCACTCCATTTAGAGAGTCATATATATTTTCATTATGTAGTTTTTATTTTAGACGAACATTATTGTTAAAAAAAAAAAAAAAAAAAAAAATAGTTCACCTGGAATAAAATCCACTTAAAAACAAAAACCCCACAGTCTCAGTATCAGTACACAGTTAATGAACTGGCTTAAACAAGATTAAGCACATGACAGGTCCACTCTCTCTGCAGGAACTTTTCACATTAAGCCATTGGAACAAAAATAAAATACGCTTAAAATACACAGTAGGATAATTCTATAGAAAAACTAGATACTTTCCATTACGGGCATGATTTTAGTCAAATCGTTTATGGTATTTTTGTATTAAAGGATCTGCAGTGTCCACTGCAAACAAACGAAATAAAACCCACCTTAAGGCCATAGGAATGAACGATAACAATTCACATTTTTTAAAAAGGTAAGAAAATGAAATAGGTCGTTCAATTAGTTCTTGGCAACAAGAAATGCAACTGTATATGGCACACACGTTTCAAGAAATGAAGTCGAGGAAGTAAAAATATCGCTAAAATAATTGTTTGCTCACTTTTGTTTCTGTACATTTCATTCATTTCAATATTTTTCATCGTGAACACGATACCCATTAATTTTATTAGTCTTCAAAAGACAGACTCTACTGTAAAATTACCCTAGAATTTGAAATGTTATCAGCATATCCTGTCCTAGGTCTCTCTACACTAAGGGATTACATTATTAAACATTCCTTTACAACCTCCTCCCCTTTGGATATATCAAGAAGAAAGCAAGCATTCCTTTGTGTTTAAAAATAAATTCTAAAAAACCTGATTGTAGAAATGAGAGCTTCAAATTTGAGAGAAGTACACCACCATAACGAAGTGCGGCTTTATGATTTTAAGCTTAGTAGCTCATCTTTGAAGATTAAGAACTAAATTTATAAAGGAAATCCAAGTCATGAACTTCTGCTTAAATGTATCCCTTACTGTTCACAAGAAAAATGTGATACGCTTTATTACGGACTCTCCGCATTCAGAACCTATAAAATGGAGTCATAATCTTACTTAGAACCTTCTGCAAAGCATCTATCTATATTGCACAGCTAAACTTATAATGGAGACAGGGAGTTAATACATTTGTACACTACTGGATAGGACATGTATGTTCTGTTCTAAACTAAGGTACCTCCTACCTTTCCCGAGGGTGCCCTCAACTCAAAAGCCAATCACAGAGTCTAAATTTTGTGGGGTGCTTAAAGGCTGGCTCACTGTTCTTCTACCAGGTATCAGAAGACTAGTTAGCTAAATGAGGTATAATTGAAAAACAGTCCTTCAAAGTAAGAGTATATAGTCTTTTGAAAATTTAGAACAAAGACTGCACAAAATGTCCATGTAAAGAGTAAGAAACCCTGCGGCACCTACTAACTGATGCACAGGCGGGTCGTTTTATCATACTCTGAAGTGAAATACAGCTAAAATAAGTTCCCGGTGAAACACTGTACAATCAGCTGATCGACAGGCCACTTGGTCCCCGCACATCTGCACAGTCTGACACCCTCAGACTATTTCGAAAGGTCTCGTCCAATCACTGCCCAAAATGAGCATTACGTGCAGCCACCGCGTCATTAACACTGCTGCCAGAATCTTCAGGTACCTTAACCATGCCACAAAAGCGCTCACAAAATACGAGATTTCTTCGTTTCAGCAGGGAACGGACAATGATCTGTCACTAAATTAATCTACTGATAGAAAAAATAATGCACTATATGTACATTATTAAGCAAAGTGGAATATTTATTGGGTCATTTTACCATGCAGAAAGTGAGTTTTCTATGGTCTTAGCTCAAATTATAAACAATTTAGCAAAGCTAAATGTAAGAAAATAGCAAGGACAATTTATTTCTATATAACAGAGCATATATTCCCAATTCACTGCTACTTCAAAGAGCACTTTTAGACTTATCTAACTTTTATAGGCTCTTTCAAAGGGAAGTTCATGGAGACTAGTTATTAACCCATAGAAGACAAAAGACGAGAGGAGAAATTCAACAAAAGCAAAACATTCTGTTAAAAACAAACAAAAAGCTAACACAGAATATGTCAGTTTTGGTTTGCAGACAACCCCTGAGATATAAACCGAAGTGTTAAGACACCACATAGCCAGAGGTAAATTACTGCGAGAATTACATTCATCCATGGTGTCATAGCACTTGTCTTGTAGAAGGTACTTTGTTACCATCCAGAAAGCTCAGCTGCTTGGATTTGCTTCAGAAGACTTGTGAATACAAGATGTTCCTAAGAAATTATTTTCCTTTTCAAAAAAGTCTCTAATTTGAAGATAGTGGATTTCCAATTAACTTTCAGTCATGAGGCTAGGATGAGACTGGGATTACCAAGGGTAACTAAGCCTAGAGGTATATGCAAGGGAAAAGGTCAAGGAGGCTGACATTTCTCAACAGTAAGGGTAGTGTGACCATCGGAAACTGCTCCGGCATGTTTGCAGCCACTAAGTTGTTCCTATGTTCTCAAACAAGTCGTGAAAGTTGGCTGGCCCAAGCGTTCTCACTACACATCTGAGTTCTCTGTGGTAACGACCAATCCATGTCTGCTTCCATCTCCCATCCTTAACTATCGAGCATGGTAGAAGCCTTTGTGAAGTAAAACAGGCATAAGAGGAAGACACCACTGTGAACAGAGTTCACGTCCCCAGTCACCTCTTTATTACGCCCCTTATGTAATGACGCTGAAGGCAACAATGACAGCAATGATATCATGATGTGAATTTGGCACATCAGTTAACACTAAATACTTTTTCTTATGTGATGGTTTCATCTACAAAAGGTAAACCAGTACCAGTGTTTGGTGAGAAAGGCAACTCAGCTTTTGGTTGGCTTTGGCCCAAATGATTAGACCACATTCTATAACAATGAATACAAACATGTGGGACTGGGCTCTACACATTCGACGAGTTGTTCTTAAACTAAAACTAAAATGGTCTCTACTAAAAAGGCATGACTTTTCCTAAAGGTTGCACTAGGCCCAATTATTTTGAGTAAAAAAAAAAAAAAAGAACAAAAACCCTCCCAAATAAAAACAAAATGAGAAGTCATTATGTTCACCATTACCAAGAGCGATCTCTATTAAATTTTTATATTAACAAGTTAATCTCCCCTTATAGGTAAACTTTCTGCAAACTGAAATCTAAATCTAACTTTTGTTAGCTCTTACAGACAGGGATTATGGTGGGAATTGGGTATTACAACTAAGCCAGCAAGCTAAGGCGGTGAACCTAAGGAAAAATAGATTACATATTCCGATACCACAGAACCACAGTTAGATACTGAAAATAAAACCCAAATCGACTAGGTAAAATTTCAGCTCAAGACTTCCACAAATAGAAACAGACAGTAATGTCCAAATATGTTAAGATTTTTAGAAAACTAAGTAATTACAGTAAATCAAACATGGGAAAAAAGAACAAATTCAGACCCTAGGAAAAGTGAATTTAAGGTGGTTTCCAAATGGAGTTTCTATAGATTTGGCAGAGGTAATCAATTAAAAAGTGATTCATTCATCTATCCAGACTCTCTGGCAAAAAGGTCAGGAATGAAGCAAATCTCTTAACCTTGGGAAGAAACAAAGGCATGTGGCCTCTGATGAATGGATGGACATTTTTATAAATGTTTTCAAATAAATTTGATCAGCATTTAATGATTATTTAAAGAAAATCACAAACCAAAGCCCTTAAGTAAATGCCACCAATGCAGTAACATGTGGCCCTGTGAGCCAGACTAAATGTCCCTTAATTTTAGTACATTTACCTCTGCTTTAAACCTTCTTCTCTCTTTTAGACATCCCAAATGAACACACGTGCCTAGAACTTCATGGCAGCAGGTGTGCACATGAGTCTAAGAAAAGCTAACACTGATGTGCAAAGGGAAACAGAAAGACAGCAGCTCTGCAACAGGCAGTAACACAAAGGAAAAACGAGTTGGGTCCTGCGTGTGTCTCCACTACATTGCTTCCATGTTGGTAAAAAAGAGCCTGTTCTTTCGCTAGGCCAGGAGGCTGGAATCCACTTGGCGTTCAGGGTCGAGAGGTCTAAGTTCCACGGTGCTCTCCGCAGCAGCTGGGCGGTGTGATTCTGAGGCTGGGTGACCTGTGCTTTCAGAGAAGCAGGAAAGGGCCCTGGAGGTGGGCTGCAGTCTCTCAGAAAGAGTTCATCAAAGTAGCGAACAACGGAAGAAACTGGTCTTCTTTGATCGGTTTTCTGTTATTTTCACTGGTCCACCTGCCCCTGATGAATTGCTGTCATTCTAAAAAATAGAAGATGAAATTAGCGAGGAAATAAAAGTTTCGTAGTTTGATCCCAATTACCTAAAAAATAAAAATACAAACTAAACCACATTGTGTGAAGTGAGCATTCTAATGAATTGTAGATTTTCTAGAGCACTTCACAGAAAGGGAACTAGTTAAGCTCTTCATCTTTTTCACTGGAAATGGTGGATTAAAAAGACAAAACTATCCTGGGACCAGCAGTTAAGCATAATGGCTATGTCGCTGGACTCCCATGTAGCCGACCATGGTTCGAGTCCTGGACTTGATGGCTTAAACTCACACTGAGCATGTGTGTGTGCGTGCCCAAGATCCCGAGAGGAGAATGGAGGAGAAGGGATTGTGGTGTGGCCATCCCCCCGGGTGGTGATTTCTTGCTTTCTGTCTCTCTGTCTCTCTCTGTCTTTCTAGCGAGCACACGCGCCCTATAGTAAAAACCTCTCCAAAAAAAAAAAAAGACAAAACTATCCTTATGATAACCCTTTTTATATTAATAATGTATTAGACAGGAAGCTCCTTTCCAGTTCAAAGAAATTATAACCAAAGGAGTGTAAAGTTTCAAGGGTAATGATGGAAACGATGCTGAGATACTGGTGTGGATGATCTTGGTGGTAAGAAGAGCTGGTGACAGAAAGTATACAGCTACATTGAGGACTCAGGTTAAAACAAACGTTTATGGTTGTCCTCATGTCCTTACAGGAAACCATGGTTTCATCCTGTCATCAGAGATAGTTCCAAATGACAAACATCAACAACACCAAGATCATAATTATATAGATATAAATGTTACATGAAAACAAAACTAGATAATTTTATGGCAAAAATGGAATTTACACCATGATTACTTTCATTATTCTGATCAAAATTCAATTAAACACCACTTAAAGAGCCAGTTGAAAGGACTCAAACAGCTACAGTTAAGAAATAAGAACCCTGGGACCAACAGATGGCATAATGGTTACATCACTGGACTCCCACATAGTTGACCATGGTTTGAGTCCCGGACCCAGCAGCTGGGGGTGTGAGCAGGTGTGCCCAAAATCCCAAGAAGAGACTGGAGGAGAAGGGATTACTTGGGGGTGATTTCTTGCTTTCTGTCTCTCTGTCTCTCCAGCAAGCACACATGCCTTATAGCAAAAATCCCTCTTGAAATAAAAAAGAAACAAGAATCCTGAAGAAACAGAAAAAGCAAAGTTCAAGTAGAGATATATGAGAGTCGGGAAAAAGTGAGTTTCATGTAAATATATTGCAATCAGGCCTACCCTTTCTTACAATACCACATTAAAAAGCAGCGTAAGAGTGGTTAAGGTGATAGACTCTCATACAGTCAACCATGGTTCAAGCCCAGACCTGGCTGCTGGAAAGTAATGCCATGTGCCTGCATGCCCAAAAATCCCATGAAGAGAATGGAGGGAAAGGGACTGCAGCGTGACTAACCCCTCAGGAGGGAGAATTTCTCAATTTCCCTCTCAATGTCTCTGGGGAGCACAAGTACCCTATGGCAAAAACCTAAAAAAAAAAGTAGCACAAAAGAGATAAGATTATGAAGGATACAAACCATTTTTCTGTTGAGTTTTGTCATTATATCCCGTGCCAGTGTAAAAAATGCCTAAAAATAAAACAAAAGAATTTATTATTATATATGCATAACATATTTTAAATTAGAAATAATATATTTTTCCATAAAAACATTAAACTTTCTAATTGGGAAAAGAACATAATATGGTATGCACGTGAATGTTGTATGCACTTTTTCAATTATATCACAAGCATACAAGCATATTCCAGTGTTATCAAATTGTCATTCATTCGGTTATCAAGTATTTTTTCAGAGGCCAGCAGGTGGCACGGTGGTTAAAGGCACTGGACTGCCACATGGCCGGCCATGGCTCAGGTTCCGAACCTGGCAACTTGTTTTTTCACTTTCCCCCTCTCTGTCTCTTCTGGTCAAATTAAAATAATAATACTAATAATAAACTTAAATAATAAATATTTTTTAAAACTTGAAACTATATTTTCTTCATGTAAAACCTGACACCAGCTCCTAATATGACGTGTTATAAGTAGCTTCCTCAGTGTGCCAAGAACAGGGCAGAGGCTCTGTCTAAGCCACCCTGGTGTCCCCAGAGCACAGCACAGGGCCTGGTCTAGGAGACAATGAGTCTATTTAAGGAGTGCTACCTCTGAGTGTGATGAACTACAACTGCAGCATAAACTAACCCCAATGGTGGAGTGTTGCCCAAAGGAGGGAAAGGGCTTAGTGGGAGGTGGTGTCTGGGCCAGATCAATCATGAATAATTAATGCAGGTTCTGGAGGGAGGGACTTTTCAGGAGTTTGTGTTCTCCAGAGCAGCCTGCTATAAAGGCAAGTCGGCTGCCTGCAGGTCTCTCTGTACCTCCCCACTTCCCTTTCCACTCTTCTCAGCCATGCTATGACACTGCATCAAAGGCCGACCAGAGGCCAGTCTATGCCTTTGGATGTTCTGGTCACCAGAATCATGAGCCAAATAAACCTCACCCAGTCTCGGGTATTCAGCAACACAGTAACAGACTAAGACAATAAGTGAACGAATGAATGATTATGCATTACCCTGTAGCTCTAAAATCTGTTTCCACAAAATTCTCCACCTTTCACTTCTGACCTTCTCTTTCAAACCTGCCTTACCCTTTCACCTGAGTGTTATCTTCCATGTCTTGACACTCCAAAATCCTGACAGTTCTTGGAGTTCAGAAATTCCCATGGAAATCAGTTCAATTGGAAGCAAGACAAATCTGATTAACCTTAGTGACACTTTCCCCATAGTGTCTCTTGACCAAATCAAACATTTTTTAAACTTATTATCACTTTACTTTGTTTCTACAGAGCTAAGAATTCTAAGAGCTTCCTCAGTTGTCCCCAAGCTAAACCCACTTTTATGTTAGCTTCTTTCCAACTACTTTCAATTCCCCGAAACTGTTCAGGAAAAGGATTATTTCCAATCCAGTCAAATATAACCAATATGAGAATGACTATAATTACTCACGGTAGTGTGTCTCACTGTCACACTGGTCACCTAAGAGCCTAGGTTTCTAAATAAGACCATTGCAGGTTTTGGGAGACTAACCACACTGATAGAAGGTCCCGGGGAAATCACTGACTTCTATAGAATGCCTGGCCCGAGTAAGCAAGAATAAGCCGCTTGGGACGCCCAGCCTCTGTCCTTCTATAACACAGTGTTCTCGGTAAGCCCCCACTGTGATCTGGGTGCAGGTACTGGCCAGCTAAGCCTGCTCCCTCAGGCCAGGGCGGGAGCCCATCCTGTGGCAGTGCTTCCACGTGGGCCGTGGGCTGGCTCAGTGAGCTCGCCCTCCACCCTCCTCCACCATTCGAGCTGACTTAAGAGGCTCCCCTCTTTCTGATGGAGGGAAATCCTTTTGTGGCAAGCAGAAGGAAGTGTTTTTCTGCTTATGTATGCTTGGTAAATAAATCAACAGAGGCTTCCTGTTTCCCAACACTCATTAGCCAACCTGAAACAATGACCGTTAGTTTTTTTAAAAAATGAAGGAAAACTTCTGGTCATTCTCCACAGCCAATAATTCATTAAGTCTTCATTTTTACCTATCGTGTGATGAACAGTGAGTAGTCTAAGAAATAATGTATGATACCATCACTGTCATTAAGTGAATGACATAAACATACATTACATGTATTAATTTAATGATCAGTTTAAAAAAAAACCTTTTTAATTCTTTTAAAAAAGGGGAGAGGGAAGCTGGCAGGTGATGTGGTGGTTGAGGACGCTGGACTGTCATGTGGCCGACCGTGGTTCGGGTCCCAGACCCGGCAACTTGCTTCTCACTTTCTCAATCTCCCTCCCACCACCTCCCTCTCTGGTCAAATTAAAATAAATAAATAAATAAATAAATAGGCAGAGTTAAATTAAATCATTTTTTTAATAAAAGCTTTACTTTAACACCATAGGGTGTATGTGCATGCTAGAGTGAGTGAGAAAGGGAGAGAAAAAGAGACAAAACACCCCCAGTAGAGCCTGGTAACGCTGCAATTCCCTTAACCCATTTCTCTATCCCATCAGGATTCCAGGCAGGCACATGCATGCTGGGCACGTTTTTCAAGCTGCTAGACCAGGGCTCAAACCATGATAGGCCGTGTACAATCCAGATTCCTCTGCATGGTGCTTAGCCACTGTGCCATGGGCTGGACATAAATTATTGTTTTTTGTTAAAATAAAATACCATAACAATTTTGCTCTTGGTGGAAAAAAATAAAAACTATTCTTAAGAGACTTTAGATGATTTGGTTTGTTTAACATCTAATTTAATGAAAATTTATTAAAATTACTGTCTGATAAATACACTTTCTTATTTCTACTAAATGCCATCATGTTACAATCTATCATGCTTAATCTACTTTGAATGTGTACACTATAAGAAAATGTTCAATAGGCTATCAGTTTAATTCTCTCCTGAGAGGGGACAGATATGAAAGTAAATTCACTCTCCTGCTACAGGATGACATGGATGATGATAAATGAACAGAGGACAGTGGGTCTGAAGTCTAGGATATGCAGCTCCCCAACAAAGGGCAGAGATGAACTTAAACTGACCTTCTGTCTTTTGTTCAGTGAATCTTAATTGCACAACCCAATATAATCCGAGTGGAGGCTGGCTGCTAGAAATTCAACAACCAGGGAGCAGCAGATGGTGTAGTGGTTACGTCACTGCGTTCCTGCTTGGCCAACTATGGTTTGAGTCCCGGACCTGGTGGCCTGAAACTCACACCAGGCACATGTGCTGTGTACCCAAGATCCCAGGAAGAGAATGGAGGAGAAGGGATTATGGTATGGCCTTCTCTACAGATGTGATTTTTCACTTTCCCTCTCACTGTCTCTGTCTCTCTCTCTCCAGTGAGCACACGCACCCTAAAACAAAGACCTCTACCAAAAAAAAGAAAGAAATTCACCATCCAGAGTTCACATAACACTCAGAAGCACAGGGGCCAGCAAGTGGTGTGGTGGTTAAGATGCCAGGCTCCCACATGGCCAACCACAGTTCAAGTCTATGACCTGGCAGCTTCAAAATCATGCTGGGTGTGTGTGCGTGCATGCTCAAAATCTCAGGAAGGGAATGGAGGAGAAGGGACTGCAGTGTGGCATCCCCCAGGGAATGATTTTTCACTTTCCGTCTGTCTCTCTGGTGAGCACATGTGCCCTATGACAAAAACCTTAAAACAAACAAACAAAACTTGAGAAGGACAAAAGTGCACAAAATAGAGGTGAATCAACAGAAGGTATTCACTGGGTCAGAAAATACCAAGACTCTAAGGGCTGCTCAAACGCAGGCTCCTAGGTGGCCTATAAATGATGTCTGCAGTTTACCTCCTCTACGTTTGTACTGGATTTTGCACTTGTCTCCAGGAATTTGATCCCGTAGTCAATTGCTAGCTAAAAGGCAAGCAGAAACATTTCAATTTAGTGAAACGTTCTTAAACATATAAAGCATTTATGTATCTTAGGTCTTTAAAGTCGCAAAGCTAGAGTATGTATAGCAGAACTCCCATGATTCTCAAACTTATTTGCTTTCCTCTACTGTATTTAGAATTTAGTCATGTAATTTAATTAATAAAAGAAAAGTGCCAGAGGTTGGCATGAGGTAGAGTGGTTGAGGTGCTGAACTCCCACATGGTTGACCACAGTTCGAGTCCCAAACCTGGCAGCTTGCTTTCTCATATTCCCTCTCTCTCTTTTTCTCTGTCTCTCTCTGGTCAAAATGGATAATAATAAAAATAAATAAATAATTAAATTTTTTTAGAAGTGGCAGAACTTTCATTTAAGACACCATTTTAAATAAAACACAATTTAAGAACTCCCACTTTTTCTATCATACTTTTAGTTCTCTAATATGAGAAAAATTATGAGATGGATTCCCGCCCCTACTATAAACTTGTTATTCATCTGGTCCTCTTACCTGCTCTGAAAGTACAATTTTCCAGCAGTTACTATGCTAACTTTGGGCTATTTTGAATAAATCGGTCCAATATAGAACACGATACTGAAATACTCATTGCTTTGGATTTTTATTGACCGAGACCAACTGTGAGCTCCTCCATATTTCCATCTGCTCTGACAGAGTTCCCAGTTCATGTACAACACTAAAATTAAGGGAATGATTTTAGGAGAAAAAGTTTGCAGTCAGGTTGAAAAACCAAACGCATTTTGTATCTATCACTAAAAAAAGAAAAGGCTAAAGCAAAATTCCAAGACGTGAAGAGGGAAGTCTCTAAGTCAACTTAGAAAAGGTCATAGAAATAAGTACGGACATAAAACAAGCTCTTTTGCTTTTTACAGGACACAGAATAGAGAAATCTCTAGAAATGACCTGTAAATGATATCCGTAGCTTGATTACCTACAAGGAGTTAGTGGTAATGACCTGAATCTAATGTGTAACAAAATATTCTTAGAGAAAAAAAAATGAACTGAAAATGATTACCTATTCTATTACTGTTTTTTTTTTTAAAGAATGAATTACTTTCAGTTCAAAAGTGGGCATTTTCACACAGATCTCAAAGAAATAGCCTGAACTGTAAGCTGCAGGAGCCTTAAAAAGGATCTATTTGTATGTCCCAGAAAACATGAGCAAATTCTTTAGAAATGAGTCATGACCACACAGTACATAGAGTTGGGTCTCGAATACTAATTCATACCATTCGAGTATGTATTATATCTTTTTGTTGCTCATATCCATTTTTAAAAGACTAACCCTTAGCTATTTTAAAAACTTAAATAAATAAATAATACTAAGAGAAAAAATACTTAATGTGAGGAGATGCCAACCTTATTCATTCAGTTCAAATTTACCTTTTCCCCTCTTTCTTTTGACACTTGTCTTTTGTCATTCATATCACATTTGTTCCCCAGGATCATTCTTTCAACATCTGAAGAGGCATGCTGCAAGGAGAAAATAGTATGCTATAAAAATCACGGTTATTCGATAGCCAAATCCTAACCTGTCAGAAACAATCAGGAAGTTAATAGTAAGACAAATAATCTTGTATTCACCATAAGGCCTGATGGGAGAAAAGTTGAAAGATGGAGGAGGAAGAAAGCTACAGTTTAAGAGCCTTCACAGAACTGCTGTGCACACTTTTTTCCCCAAGGGCCTGTTAACGGATGGGAAAGTGTCGAGCTGCGTTGTGAAATCCTTGGTTCTTTGGGTCCAGATCACTAAAATTAGAGATCTGTCCCTAGGCACAAAATGAAACTGCAACCACGAATGAAGTAGGTAGAAAGGAAGATTTAATAGAAAGAAAGGAAAGGAAAGAAAGAAAGTACACCCAAAAGGCTCTTGGGCGGGCAGATTGCCAGGTGGCAACCACGCTTGGTACTAGTTAACTGTTATTTTTATTACTAGAGGTCATGAATATTCATTAGTGGGAGGCCCCTTATGCTGCCTATGTCCTTCCTTTAAATTAGAATCCACACGCTCTTTTCCTGCACCTGCCCATCTTCCTCACAGGTAGAGTGAGGAACTTGATTACCTAATTGCACATGGTGCCCAATGCGAGAGCCACAATCCCTTCTCCTCCATTCTCCTTTCGGGATCTTGGGCACGCACGCACACGCGCCCAGCGTGAGTTTAAGCCACCGGGTCCGGGACTCGAACCGCGGTCGACTATGTGGGAGTCCAGCGACATAGCCATTGCGCTAACTGCTGGTCCCTGCTTGGGTCTTTTTGATAAAATCCACGAATCATCCCTGTGAGCTTCTCTCAGGCCTCAAGGAAGGAAGATGGCAAATTGCCTCATCCTCCTGGTGCCTGGAGCTAGATGAGCCTTTCGTTTTTCTCTTAGGACTGCCAGCTCATGACTGACTAACTGCCTATCACAGGCCCACAGTTGTTACTCTTCTTTTCCCTTTTATTTGCATATGAACAAACAGGAGTAAAACTTAGGGTTACCTACAACAAAACTTCTGAATATTTGTTTGGGACAAAGACAAAAAATAATTGGGGATCACAGACCCAAGAAGGTAATACAAATTCTGACTACTTAATAAATGGATTCATTGTCAATTACAAAGAAAATACACTTTAAAAAAACATGTGGGTTAATAAAAATGTGTACAAAATTATTTCAGGTTGCATGTTAAATGGAGACTTGGATTTTCTTTTTTCTTTTTTTTGGAGAGATTTTCGCTATAGGGCGCATGCGCTCACCAGACAGACAGAGAGAGACATAGAGACAGAAAGTGAGAAATCACCCCCCAGGGAGGATGGTCACACCGCAATCCCTTCTCCTCCATTCTCCTCTCAGGATCTTGGGCACGCACGCACACGCACCCGGCATGAGTTTTAAGTCACTGGGTCCGGGACGTGAACCGTGGTCAACTACGTGGGAGTCCAGTGACATAGCCATTACACTAACTGCTGGTTCCCTAGACTATATTTTCAAGATAAAATTTTCAGTTTAAAATTCTGTGACATTGCTCTTATTTTGGCTCCTCAAAACCTATGAATAGATTATCATCTGAGCCCGTCATCTCCCTCCCTGGTATTCACCCAAATGATACGAAAGCACTCAGGCAGAAGGGCACATGGCAATGCCATGTTTATGGTGCAGCATTTGTGATTGTGAAGACATGGAGTCAACCTAAGTGCCCAAGAACTGATGACCCAGTTGACAAATTATGGCAGTATTATTCAGCCATAAGGAACAATGAGACATTGTCATTTGTCTCAAAGTGGTTAAATATGGAAGACCTACTGCCAAGTGAAGTAAGCCAGACTATGAGAGATAAACACTGTATATCCCCACTCAGTGTGAACTGAATGTCTGAACTCTATGGCAGAAATGGAAAGACTGAAAATATGACCGTAGGAAAGATAAGTGTGAAACCAGAGTCTGAAAGGGAGGAAGTGAATGGTAGCGGGTAGGAGGGGCAAAGGGAAGAAATGCATAATAGAACGTAAAACACTTAACAAGAATGTAAAATTCTCTATTGAAAATGATGTGTATGGTAATATCCTTGATTTCATTGTTAATAATAAATAAATAAACAGTTCGCATTTTTTTCTGCCCTTAGTTTCCTGGTATGTAAAACGGAGACTCAAATGATTCTCAAGATCTGGCCCAAATTAAAATCCAGTGCCATTGCTCCTTTGTCCACACCCACCCCTTGGGACACTGGCAGCACCAGAGAGCTGTCTCTTGGGGAGCTCCTTAGGGACAGCACGCTTAACCTGTCCAAGCCCCACTTCTCAGCTCAGTCGCCTCTGAGTGAGACAGAGGAGCCTCTGAGAGGCGTCCAGCTGGGCTCATCCCCAGTGCCATCACCCTCTTTCCATACACACCTCTTCAATGTTTCTTATCCAGTTTTTAATATTATCAAAGGACTTTTCATTTGTGATGTCGTAGACCAGCATAATTCCCTATAGGAAGAAAGAAAAAGATCTTTAGTATTGCATATCCTTACACTATAACATCAGTGTACTCCTAGCTTCTAGAAACCTTTTGTCTGTCCTTACTTATCTTTTAAAAAGGGTTCAGAATTTGAAAAATACAGAGAAGCCAAAATAAATAAATGCTTCCACTGCCTCACCACGTAAATAAATATGAACTGTGTTAACATTTCCACTGTTTACTTTTAATGAATTAGTGATTACGGTACAGCACTCTTTCTACCTGACCTCACGTGATAGCAATCAACACCAAATAGAACTTAAGGGGTGTTTATCTCAAACTAGAGAGAACATTGAGAGTAAGAGATGTAATCTCTTCACTGTACACTTATTTATTCCAAGGATAAAGGCCCTTGCTACTTAGTCACCTACTAAAATTCAGACCACACTGCTTTAAAATTATTTCTTTTTTTGAGGGGGAGGGCTGGCAGGTGGCATGGTGACTGAGGTACTGGTCTCCCACATGGCTGACTATGGTTCAAGTCCCAGGCCTGGCAGCTTGATTTCTCACTTATTCTTTCTCTCTCTCTGGTAAAATTAAAAAGTAAATAATAATGAATAAAATAAATAAATAAATAAATTTTTTTAAAAGAATTTTTTGAGAGTTTTTTTTATTTTTTTTTTGCTATAGGGTGTGTGCGCTCACCAGAAAGACAGAGACAGACAAAGAGATAGAAAGTGAGAAATCACCCCCCCAGGGGGCATGGCCATGCCGCAATCCATTCTCTTACATTGTCCTCTCAGGATCTTGGGCACACACATACACATGCGCAGCATGAGCTTAAGCCACTGGGTCCGGGACTCGAACCGTGGTCAGCTACATGGGAGTTCAGCAACATAGCCTTTACACTAACTGCTGGTCCCAATAAATAAGTAAATCTTTAAAAAAAAATTATTTATTTTTATATAGGCTAATCTAAGTGCCTCTATTTATCCAAGTATATCACAGACACATAAAATATCATGAATTTATGACAGATTAATAAAATACATTGTCACCATATTTTTAAAGACTCCACATATTTTCTTTTTTTAAGAGAGATTTTTGCTATAGGGAGCGTGTGCTTGCAAGAGAAACAGAAAGACAGAAAGTGAGAAATCACCCCCCCCAGGGGGATGGTCACACCACAGTCCCTTCTCCTCCATTCTCCTGTTGGGATCTTGGGCGCACACACAAATGCACCTGGCATGAGTTAAGCCACAGGGTGCAAGACTTGAACCATGGTAGACTACATGGGAGTCCAGTGATGTAACCATTACTCCATCTGCTGGTCCCTCCAGTATTTGTAAAGGTTTACCTTCCAAATATTTCAACACCTGTAAGCTAACTATTCTGAAATCTATATCCCCAAACTATTTTCTGCAGTAAGTGCTAGGCCTACCCACCCAACTATCTGTCCATTTGACAAATACCAGGTGAGCACCTGCTGTTGCCCAGTCCTGCACTAGGTGCTATCAGCAATGAACAAGAGAGATGGGTCCCTTCTCTTTGTGGGTGTCTAGCACAGGAAACAGATAATGAATCAGTAACTATACGGTACATTATAAGTTTGATCATCGCTATGAAGATGCACAGGGAGCTCTGGACAATATGTAAGGAGCATAATCTCATCTGGCTGAGAGGCTGGAGTGGTCAGGGGAGGCTTCTCTAAGAAAAATGACCACTAAAGCCAATGCCTGAGCATGGAGTAGACTTAAACTGGGTAAAGAGGTTGGGACTAAGGTGGAACGGCGGGAGCCCAGGTTACCTAGCACGTAGGGAATTTATACATCTCTTGCTGACGTTGGAGAGCCCACTGGGTTGAATGGAAGAAAGTCAGCTTGGCAGGTGTGTATGGAACTAATGGAAGAAGGGTGCGAGGTGAGGATGACGAGGTAGGCAGAGGCCAGATGTGCCTGAGAGACCACTGTCCGGATGTCGGCAGCTAGAAATGGTCTTTGAGCCTTCCAATTCTCCCATTCCCCCGTGTATTATCATTTCAGCGTACGGCTAGACAGCCTAAGCAGACAGGCAGGACTTATCTCCTCCAGAGCCCATCGGTCACCAAGTCCTGTAGACCCAGGGCCTCAATATTTCCAGACTGTGAGCCCCCCGACACATGGCCTCATTCAGATTCTTTGACAATTAGCCTTTTCTAAATGATTGTCATAATCTTTGATTGGTCTCCCTGCTTTCATTCTTAACCTTCTCTAATCCACTTTCCATAAAGATGCCAGATTTAATACTACATCCCTCAAAAAACATTTAGTACCTCTGGACTCAGAATTAAATTAAAAGAAAATGTTTTGATAGGCAAGGTCCTATGGGGGCTGGCTTTCAACTCAGTATGTAACTATAAAGTGTAAATGTGAATAAATATAAATCCTGTAAAACACACATAGACAAAAGAATACAGGAAATGAAACATCAGTAGAAGGTATCTCTCAGTGTAGCAGGATCCAGGATGACAGCTTGGAATTTTCAAAATTCCCTGTATTACCTCTATCCGTTTTTGCAACCAGAAAAAAAAATAGTTTAAATGACAAACAATATTCTCCTCTATCTTCCTCCCTCCTAACCTCAAATGCTAATAATGTCTCTCTTGTTACATACTGTAAAGAGATAATCATCTTAATGTAAATAATCTTTTTTTTAAATGAATGTGGATAACTGCATATTTAAAAGATGGCTAAAGTGGAACCAGCAGTTGGTGTAATGGCTATGTCACTGGATTCCCATGTAGTAGACTGTAGTTTGAGTCCCAGACCCAGTGGCTTAAACTCACACTGGGCGCGTGTACATGTGTACCCAAGATCCCGAGAGGAGAATGGAGGAGAAGAGATTGCAGCATGGCCATTCCCGGGGGGGGGGGGGGGGGGTGATGTCTCGCTTTCCAGCTCTCTGTCTTTCTAGCGAGCACACGCGCCCTATAGCAAAAACCTCTCAAAAAAAAAAAAGGCTAACATGACCAGCAGATGGCTAATGGTTACATTGCTGGACTCCCACATAATTGCTCGCAGATCAAGTCCCAGACCCAGCAGCTTAAAACTCATGCTGGGCACATGTGTATCCATGCCCAAATTCCCAGGAGGAGAATGGAAGAGAAGGGACTGTGAGTGGCCATTCCCCCTGGTGAGGGTGATAACTCACTTTCCCTCTCACTGTCTCTGTCTGTCTCTCTGGCAAGCACACATGCCCTAAGGCAAAATCTCTTAAAAAAAAAAAAGGCTGAGGCTGGCAGGTGGTGTGGTGGTTAAGGCACTGGACTCCCATATTGCAGACCATGGCTCGAGGCCTGGACTTGGCAGCTTGCTTTCTCACTTTCTCTCTCACTTTCTCTTTTTCTGATCAAATTGAATTATAATAATAATAAATTAAATTTAAAATTCTTTTTTAAAAATTGGCTAAACGGTTAGAGCCAGCAGGTAGCACAGTGGTTAAGGTGCTGGATCCTACATGGCTGATTCCATGGTTCAAGTCCTGGACTCGGTGACTTAAAAAAACATGCTGGGCATGTGCACCTGCATGCCCAAACTCCTGAGAAAAGGATGGAGGAGAAGGAATTGTGGCATGGCCATCCAGGTGATTTCTTCACTTTTCCTCTCTCTCTGGCAAGGGCACACGCCAAGCAAAAAGAACAAAACAAAACAATAAAATGAAAATGCTAAATTTAGTTTTATGTATAGCTTACCAAAACAACTCAAGTGGATTCTGAATAATTGCTGATGTAAATGCCTGGTTGCCATAATATTACAACTAACCAATGAACTGCCGAAGCGCTACTGTCCTTTGCCTGTGTGAACACTCCCGATCATTACACGCCATGTCTGTCACGAAGTTCCGCTTCTCTTGGCTGGCACAGACTGTGGACACTGTGTGGTGGCAGGAACACAACTCTGAAGCTAGAGGCTTCCAGTTCAGGCTCCCCCAAGCATTACCTGGGAGAATCTGGAGATGCTGTTGTACCCCTCAGCCTCAATCTCCTCGTTTGTCAAGTGAGGACAATGTACCTTCCACGCTAGATTGTTTGGATTGTAAACTATTTAACCGAGAACCCGGACATAGCTTGAACTGAATAAATGGCAGCTATTAATTTTTCTTTGGCTTTTTTGTTTCAAATTGACACATAATAGTTGTACATATTTATGGAGTACCTTATAAATTTTTTTTTGGAGAGATTTTTGCTATAGAGTGTGTGTACTCGTCAGAAAGACAGAGACAGAGAGACAGAAAGTGAGAAATCACCCTCCGGGGGGGAAGGCCATGCCACAATCCCTTCTCCTCCATTCTCCTCTCGGGGTCTTGGGCACACACGCACACACATCAGGTATGAGTTTAAGGCACCGGGTCTGGGACTCGAACTGCAGTTGACTACGTGGGAGTTCAGCAACATAGCCATTACGCTAACTGCTGGTCTCCATAATATTTTGATACAATAATATAATGTATAATAATCATATCAGGGTAATGAGTGTATATATCACCTCAAATATTTCTTATTACTTTGTATTGTAGACATTCAGAATCTTCTCTTTGAACTCTTTGAAATATACAATAAATAACTGCTAAGCACAGTCAACCTACTGTGCTAGAATTTATTGTTCCTATCTTACTAATTTTGTAATTTTTTAAATCTGTTAACCAACATCTCCCTATCCTGCCTCCCCCTACCCTTCCCAGTCTCTGTAACCCTATTTTACTCTCAACTTCTATACAAAATCAACATACAAAAAACAATAGCATTTCTATATATCATTAATGAACTAGCAGAAATAGAGCAATTCCATTCACAAGAGCTACGAAACTAAATAAATAAGATACCTAGGAATAAATTTAAGCAAGAAAGAAAGTAAGAGGATACAATAAATGGAAAGATATCCCATGTTCACTGATTGGAAGAATTAATATTGTTAAAAGATCATGCTACTGAAAGTGATCTATAAATACAACAGAATCTCTGGCTTCAGTATCAGAAATAAGTCAATTATTTTCTAATCCTTCTTTTTTTTAAAGAATTATTTAATTTAATTTATTTATTTTAATTTGACCAGAGAAGGACAGAGTGAGAAAAAGAGAGAGAAAGAAAGGCGGGGGGTGGGGAGCAAAGTGAGAAAGCAAGCTGCCAGGTCCGGGACCCTAACCATGGTCAGCCATGTTGGAGTCCAGTGTCCTCAACCACCACACCACCTGGCTCTTGTTTTTAAGTTAACTGATATTATGAACCAGTTGGAAACACAAATTCAAGTACCTAAGCTAGAATTTTGTATATCTAGCATATTCCTACCTTAAGAATAGTTTCCCTTGGGACCAGCAATTGGCATAATGGCTATGTTGCTGGACACGCCGGGCATGTGTGCATGCATGCCCAAGATCCTGAGAGGAGAATGGAGGAGAAGGGATTACAGCGTGGCTATCCCCGCGGGGGGTGGTGATTTCTTGCTTTCTGTCTCTCTGTGTCTTTCTGGCAAGCACATGTACCCTATAGCAAAAACTTGTTTAAAAAAAAAAGAAAAGTTTCCCGAGAATTCAAAATAAAATACTAGCCTATGAGAAATGTTGATAATGCAATGATAGGTCCTATTTTCCCTGAAGCCTGACTGTCCATCAGGGTCACCTGGGAATGTCAAAGTGTTTGAAACAGACCAAAGAATTCTGTCACAGAGGCAGAGTCTAGGCCGGTCCTCATCAGCATACTATAAACCTGAACCAACCAAACTAAATCTGCCATCACCACCACCTGCTGCCACTGGGACTCTCCAAAGAGAACATGATGGCCTACGCTCCACTGGAACAGATGATCTGAGAGAGTCAAGGCTGGCAGAGCAGGATTTTCTAAACGTTTACCTAAGATTGTTTGTATGTCTAACATTTTCCACTGATTCACCCTGTTGACCAGTATTTACTGAGCATCTACCATGTGCCAAGCTCTGGCACTGCATACAGTAAAGCAAGAGACGAAATTCTTGACCTTCAAAATGGGACCAGCAGTTAGCGTAATGGCTGTCGCTGGACTCCCATGTAGTCAACCGCAGTTTGAGTCCCGGACCCGGTGACTTAAACTCACGCCAGGCACATGTGAATGCATGCCCTAGATCCCGAGAGGAGAATGGAGGAGAAGGGATTGCAACGTGGCCATCCCCCCTGGAGGGTTATTTCTCGCTTTCTGTCTCTCTGTCTCTCTCTGTCTGTCTGGCAAGCACATGTGCCCTATAGCAAAAACTTCTCAAAAAAAAAAAACTATTTAGAACAGCAACAATTTTTACTGGATTGTCATAAAAATCATGATGCAGCTTCGCATAGAAAAACACAGAAAAAAAAATACATCATGACTTTTCTGATGATCCAACAATTATTTGAAGTACTGTGAGAAAAGTCGAGGCAATAGATAAAGGAAAAAGATGAACAGTTCTTAAATATAAAGTAAATAGTGCGTTACAATCACCTTTCTCATGCCATTAACTAGATCTAAACATTCAACTGCAACATTGTTCCCAATTCTAAGTGTTCCTGCCCATTCTCTAGTGAAAATGAGTGTGTGAACGGTGCAGATACACCACCTCCATGATGGAAAACACTGGTCAACAGAAAGGCTCCTGTGTTTAAGATGCTGCGAACCAGTTACCTGAAAACTCTTCCCAATCAACCCTGATAAAATGTTTTTATCCCTAAAATCCTTTCTGAGGAAACAAATGTCTTCGATAAGCACACAGGATAGGCCCCTTCGCTTTGATTTCAGTCTAAGCAGAGAACAGCTAGCAAGTGTCTTTATTAAAACGATGACTCTTCACAGTCTTAGAAGTATTACAGGGTGGAGTGTGGAGAACCCAGGAACACAAAACAGCTGTCTGCTCCGGTTTTAAAATGGAATGCCTTATCTTTTCATGGGGGTGAGTTACTGACACCCAAATAATGGTGGGTAAATAAAGAAAGAAAGAAAGAAAGAAAGAAAATGGCGGGTAAGTGGCAGTGGGGGAGGAAGGATCTGTGGATTCAGATCACATCCTCCTAAAGGCAAGGGGACAGCTACCTCCCCGTCAGCCCTGTGGCCCAGCACCACCCCAGGTCCCCATCAGTCAGACAATGAGCTGGGTGTGATGGCAGTTGGGGACCCATACAGTCTACAAGGCTGGGCTTTGTGGTCTCACCTGCTCAACAGTAAGAGACCCTGAGCATTCTGGATTCCATCATAAGCCAGGGTTCCCACGTGTGCTTGGCTGAGGCCTAACGCCTCAGGCTGGGCCTGTCATCCTGGGCATATCCTCCACTGCACTCCCAGCCACATGTAGGACCTGGCCAGACTCACCAGGGTCCTAAGTGCACTGAAGGATGAAGCATCTCAGGGGAAAAATAACCAAATGATGAAGTTAGGATAACAAGAAGGCCACAAGAGGACTGGTCAGTAGTCAAGATTCACCAGATTCTAAGCCTCAAAGTCACAGATCACTCAGCCACTTCCTGCTCAGCTGGCAGAACACAGGCCAAGGAGACGCTAAGGAGCTGGGCATTAAGTAGCGGATGTGGCAGAGGAGGTGACAGATAATGCGGGGCTGAAGGACTAGAAGGTGCGAGAAATGAATACTTAGTAACAGGGCTGGTGGTTTGCTAAGACTGCCATAAGGCAGTAATAACAGGGAAAGGAAAAATATACTATCATCTGAAATGTATGGAGTTCTAGAATATCTACAAGTTAACTGCCTGCTTACTGAAAACGAATGCAACGTATACAATTACTAAACACAAAACATAACCAAAAAACACTTGAAATGTCTTGTTTTCACTTCAAAAATTTTACTTTTCCCCATTGTACTAGACTCCAGCTTGAATCCTATAATCTTGGCAAATGAATATTCATGTTTTACTTTTCACCTGAAGAGTTACAAAACCCGAAAACACACTCACCATGGCTCCTCTGTAGTACGCTGTTGTGATTGTTCGGAATCTTTCCTGACCCGCTGTGTCCCTAAAATGTGAAACAAAAGAGAGAGTGGTTTTGAAAGTCACCACTGGCATCCAGGCATCCGGAGGAGACGCCCTCGCCTGTGAGAGACCTCATTCGGGTCTGCTCACAGCGCGGTGGTCCCGGGGAAAGGAGAACGCCACAAAGGGAGCGAGCTGGAGGCGGAGGTGGCCACAGATGCCTGTCAAGAGCTCACAATGACTTGTGGGAAAAACGTGGACCTCGGTAACAAAAGCAGCAACGGGAAAATACATGAGCCCTGCTAGGAGCTGGCATGTTATATTCATCGAGCCCGTGTGGGAGGGAACAGAGAATAGCTCTACATTCTTGCACTCCCAGAGGTAGTTCTAATAACCCTTTCCATAAGCGCTGAGTGACTAAGGCATTCTGCTCTCCTGACTGAACGTCTGATTTCTTTACAAAGCAAGCAATTGAGCAGGACCCACTACTGGACATTCTGCTCAGCAGAGCGCGGTAAAACGGGTCTCAAGATCTCCAGCTATGGAGTCCACGATTACAAGGGAGCAGAGAGCTCGATACGTTACTCCTGACAATGTCTACAAAGACCTCGAAATATAAACGATAACTCAAAATTACACAAACTCCTCTCTATTCTTGCCTGTAGCGGATGGCACGCCACTAAAATACAGGGCCGTCATGATGCATGTTGCACAGAAAAATATGTCAAGACTTTCCAGACGACCTAATCCATTCTGAAAAGTACAAAGGTTACTAATTATATTTATAGAAGCGACCTTATAAAGGAAGTCAAATATCTTTGATATTTGGAAAAAGTCAATACTCTCAAATTTGCCTCTTATAGCCAGAACTAAATCACTTTTGTTGCTACTAAGGCAAGCGAAATTGAACCATTTAATTGCAGGGAAGAGACAGGCACTTGTGGAAATATATTACAGAGCTACTATATACCAAACCCTAACAAGAGATGAAGGCCCAGGGGAAATACAGTAAATTAAAAACAATAAATATCTTTTTTTTTTTTTTTTTAAATTTGCTAAAGGGTGTGTGCACTTGGCAGAAAAACGGAAACAGAGAGAAAGCAACTGCACTGGGGCATAGTCACATTACAATCCCTTCCCCTCTACTCCTCTTTTCAGGATCTTGGGCACGGACCCACACACACACAGCTGGGACTCGGACCACGCAATTGGGCAGGAGGGGTCCACCCTCCCTTAACCACCATGCCACCAGCTGGCCCCCAAATCAATAAATATCTTCACACTGATACATGCCTGACTTTCACAAAGTGCTCTCTCGCTGCCCGCACAGCCAGGTGTGGGGGAGAGCTGCCATCACTTCATTCTATAAAGAGGAAATAGGCCAAGGAAGGCCGAGGCCCCAGCTCTGCCACTCGACAGCCCACATCCCTGAGGGAGACGCCAGCGTCCTAGTCTCAGCTGTTGAGCACAAGGCCAGGCCTCACACCAAAGCCACCTCATCCTGTATTCTCTCACTGGCCCAGGGTAGATTTGGGGAACCTGCTTGGTGCACAGCAAACGAATCATGGGGAAACAGAAGCCAAGCAGCTTTGAACAGACCACCAGATTGTCTTGATTCAAACACACCAGCTCTAGAACCTGCCCTGTGGTGAGGATGGAGGAGAAACTCGAGCACATTAAATGCGAGTTGCCGGGACTGACTGGAGACCACGCTGTTGCTGAGGGTAATGATAAATAGTGCCACAGTGTTTTGGCTACCCTCTATTAAGTTCTAATTAGCTAATCACTCGCAGGCTCCCAGCAACACTCCTCACTGCAGTAATCGGCACTGAAGAGCGCCCTTGGAAATTCTCTTTGCTGCCCTTGGAATTTTTACAAAATGTTTTTTAAATATCTGACTTCTTGCTAATGTCCATAATAAAGGTCCCAATGTTTTCCAGTACGTATACTGGGAACCACTCTCTCCAGCTAGTACGTGCGGCAGGTCCTGTGTTCCAGGACACTTGGGCAGTTGTCTGCTTTATCACTAGCACAGACACGTGGCCTCAGATGGACTTAAACCACTCTACTTCCTAGCTTCTTCCTCTATAAAAGAAGGGCTGGAGACTCTTCATATCATATTCTAGTTCTACACCAGTTCTAAGATCCAAGGATGAAAAAGGGCCCAGGGCAAAAGCGGATAAATATTACTTTAGCATTCAGCCCTGCCTCCTTCTGCCTCCATCTATGCTGCTCAAAATTCCTGAGCTTCATCCACTGCTGAGATCATTAAACCTTACATCTACAAACACCACCGAAAACCTTCCTCGAGGCTCCAGATCCTTATGACTCCATCCAAAGCACGACATTCAGAGAAATTAAATCAGCTTCTTGGAGGTGAAAAGAATCTGAGAGGGACCAGCAGTTAGCTTAATGGTTATGTCGCTGAACTCCCATGTAGTCAACCACGGTTCAAGTCCCGGACCTAGTGGCTTAAACTAATGCCGGGCGCATTTGCGTGCGTGCCCAAGATCCCGAGAGGAGAATGGAGAAGGGATCACGGTGTGGCCATCCCCCCCGGGGCGGTGATTTCTTGCTTTCTGTCTCTCTGGAGAGCGTATGCACCCTGTAGTAAAAACCTCTTCAAAAAAAAAAAAAAAAAAAAAATCTAAGAAGAGCTTCTGAGTTTGAGTTTAAGTCACAAATATTCAACCAGGTCATCTTGAAGAATCATATTTATTCACCACAGTTTAAGAAATCCTTCAGAATGTATAGGCAGACCCAGGTGACCATAAGAAGCTCGACGCCTCGCGTACTGAAATACGAAGTTGGGGGTGTGCTGTGGACGATGGTGTGTACCCCTCCCCCTGTTCTTGCCTTGAGGCTAATATTCAGTGTGATGGCGTTTGGATGAGGGACCTCTGGGAGGCAGTTAGGTCACAGGGTGGACCCCTCTTGAAGGAGTTAGCGCCCTCGTCAGAGACTCGAGAGCAATGATCTCTCTCGGGAAAAAAAAAAAAAAAAAAGAATCTAAGAAGAGCTTCTGAGTTTGAGTTTAAGTCACAAATATTCAACCAGGTCATCTTGAAGAATCATATTTATTCACCACAGTTTAAGAAATCCTTCAGAATGTATAGGCAGACCCAGGTGACCATAAGAAGCTCGACGCCTCGCGTACTGAAATACGAAGTTGGGGGTGTGCTGTGGACGATGGTGTGTACCCCTCCCCCTGTTCTTGCCTTGAGGCTAATATTCAGTGTGATGGCGTTTGGATGAGGGACCTCTGGGAGGCAGTTAGGTCACAGGGTGGACCCCTCTTGAAGGAGTTAGCGCCCTCGTCAGAGACTCGAGAGCAATGATCTCTCTCGGGGCTGCTGTGAGGACACATGTGAGGCAGTGGGCCCTCGCTAGACACTGAGTCTGCTAGGGCCTTTGCTCTTGGAATTGCCAGCTTCTAGGACTATGAGGAAGAAGTATTTATTGTTTTGTTTTGTTTTCGGAGAGGTTTTTTTTTTTTTTTTTTTTTGAGAGTTTTTTTTGCTATAGGGCGCGTGCGCTCGCCAGACAGACAGAGAGAGACAGAGAGCCAGAAAGCGAGAAATCACCCCCAGGGGGGGTGGTCACGCCGCAATCCCTTCTCCTCCATTCTCCTCTCGGGATCTTGAGCATGCACGCACATGCTCCCAGCGTGAGTTTTAAGCCACCAGGTCCAGGACACGAACCGTGGTCGACTACGTGGGAGTCCAGGGACATAGCCATTACGCTAACTGCTGGTTCCCCGGAGAGGTTTTTTGCTATAGGGCGCATGAGCTCACCAGAGAGACAGAGAGGGATAGGGAGACAGAAAGCGAGAAGTCACCCCCCAGGGGGGATGGCCACGCCACAATCCCTTCCCCTCCATTCTCCTCTCGGGATCTTGGGCACGCATGCACACGTGCCCAGCTTGAGTTTAAGCCACTGGGTCCGGGACTCGAACTGCAGTCGACTACATGGGAGTCCAGCAACATAGCCATTACGCTAACTGCTGGTCCCAGGAAGAAGTATTTATTGTTTAAGACATCCCATCTGTGGTATTTTTGTAACAGCATAGGTGACAGTGCAATATCACAAGGAATTTATATTTGTTCTCTGGCCCTGTTCCTTGACACACGGCTCCCCAACTCTTTAGAATCTCCAAAGTGATAAGGTTTTGTGTGTGTGTATATCCTTATAAAATAGATAACTGGTGCCTGGGGCTTCTGGGTAACCCCCAAAATGGGGCCGGTTGCCAGGAGAAACCAACTAAGTGATCAGAAGGTGGGAACTTTCCGTCCCACCCAACCTCCAGGGAGAAGAGAGGGGCTTAAAGCCAATGACCAACGATGTAACCGATTAGGCCTGAGATTTACGGCATCTATAAAACCTTGAAGAGACCAAGTCCGCACAGCTTCGTGAGAGCTGACATGGGTAGGTTTCTGGGGGTGGCACACAGGCGAGGGCACGGAGGCTCTGTGCCACTGCTCAGATGCCTGTGTGTCGCTCCTGGTCGTTCCGCTGAATCCTCTGTAACACCCCGATCACGCAGGGGCACAGTTCACAACCTCTTCCCTGCAAACGGCATTTGAGACTGGGGCGGACTTGTGGAGTCGAGACTCCCATCCTATGGACCTGGGGGGACGATGTCAGAACTGAGGTAAGTTACAGGACACCCAGCTGGTGTCTGCTGGAGAACTGCTCAGTGTGTGAGGAAAAACCCTCACACTTCCGGTGCTGAAAGCATTGTGCTGACAGTTCGAGAGATGTGTTTCTTACATCTTATGGAGCTGCTGAACAAAGACATGACTTATTTTCTTCCTTATTTCCCAGTCCCACAGTCCTCATTTTCTATTTAATGAGAAGACATATGTACATGAATTATAAAACATCAGCGCTGGAGGGGAACTCGAACGTCACCAAGCTAACCAATTTATAAATGAAGAAAAATAGGCCCCGAGAAGGAAAGCAACTGGCCTGAAGTCCTCAACCGAGAGGCGTCAGGGCTAGAAAAGACATCTGCACTTCCTGCTGCGGGTCCCCACCCCTTGGCCACTGCGCCTGATCCGATTTCACAACTGTAACAGCGTGGTAAATAATTCCAACTCTTCAGAATTTAGTTCCCTCTTATATAAAATGAGTTTTTCAAGAGTGAGCTCTTAGATCTCTTCTGCCTCTAAGAGTTAGAGACAGCATTCCCTGTCTTCCCATGTGTGGAGGAGCTAGCTCTGAAGGATGCATAAGTTACTCAGTTCCCCTTGGTTCTGATAAATAAAAGATGTTTTCACTATCACAGGATACCTCTAACCCACCACCCTTCCCTCTTTAATTCCCACTTTCCATTCCCCATTAAAGCAGGAATCTATGTGCATGTATTTTTCTTTTTACTTACCATATCTGAAGCTTAATTTTCTTTCCATCTAGCTCTATTGTTCTGATTTTAAAATCAATTCCTGCCAAAAAAACAAAGAAAGATATGCTGAGTTTCTTCAGATATAATCCAAGTATTATTAGGAAAAGGACAAAGATTTCTATTGAAAAAATTTCCCCGACGCAGTGGAAAATGTGAACCCAGAGCGGGTGTGAATGGTATGTTTCCTCTGAATACAGGCTGAAGAACGGAATGCTAATTACTTGTAAAGAATTCCCACACATGTTAAATGCAACGTATTATAGGCCTCATTATTTCAACCCAAATAGATCACATCCTGCGAAGTTACATAACTCAGAGATGGAGAATATGCCGCATTTTCTACTTCCTGAAATCCATATAAACAAGGCTGCCTCACCCCCACCCTTCCATAAAGACGGCTGTGGAAGCTCATTAAAATATCTTCTTCCAACTCTTTCCATTTTGATTCTTCAGAATCTGCAAGTAAGGAGAAAAAAGAGAGAGAGAGAGAGAGAGATCTACCCATTTGAAGGTAGGGAAGAGAGAGCCTGCATCTCTATTTTATAGTTTGCAAATATTTTACAACTGTACATTTTAATAAATGTTCCTCGCAGATTACTGGCTAGAGATAAAATCGCTGGAATGGTTGTTTTGTTTGTTTGTTTTTTAAGCTCTGGCTGCACTGTTATCTGGGGAACTTTTATTTATTTTTACTTATCTTTTTTTTTTTTGAGAGAGAGAGGGATTTTGCTATAAGGCATGTGTACTCTCCAGAGAGACAGAAAGTGAGAAATCATCCCCAAGAGGAGAGGACCATGCTGCAATCCCTTCTCCTCTGTTCTCCTCTTGGGATCTTGGGCACGCGCCCAGTGTGAGTTTTAAGCCACCGAGTCCAAGACTAAAACTGCGGTCAACTAGTGGTTAGGTGACATAGCCATTAGCCATCTGCTGGTCCCTCACTTTTAAAAAACACTCAGGATGGGGCCAGCAGGTGGCATGGTGGTTAAGGTGCTGGTTTCCCACATGGCCCATGAAATTCCAAGTCCCAGACCTGGTGGCAGGCTTTCTCACTTTCTCTTTGTCTCTCTCTCTCTCACACATGCCCTATAGCAAATCAAAATAGTAATAATAAAATAAAATAAATAATTCTTTAAGAAAAAATACTTGAGACTAGGCCAGCCTCCTTACCCATATTCTGAGCTTTTAACTTAATTGGTCAAGGGAGGAACCTGGGCACCAGTAATTTGCAAAGCTCCCCAGGTGGACGTGAAGAAGCTCTCAGCAGCCATGATAGGTAGTTTGTGGAAGTCATTGGGACCCTGGGACTTTAAATGCTCAACCCCTTCTTCACCTGTTTCCCCCATAATGAGAACTTATTTATCCATTTCAACTATAAAGAGCCTCAAAGCCCCTGACAACTATCGGCATTAAGAGGAAGGAGAAAGTCGGCAAGGGACAAGTTAGTGAACACAACTCAGTTGCCATTGGCTAAATCCGCATCATCTGGCTACACAGCTTTGTTTTGGTGTTTTTCCTACTCTTTTGCATTCTATATACGGAATCCCTTAAAGTAGTTTCCAAGACATTTGGAGAAAACGTGAATTATGTATTTTCTTAATTGGCTTAAACATGAACTGAAGCTATTTTGGTGGAGGGAGGGAGAGCCTTTAACAGCTATGTTACTACGATGTGTCTTCATGGAAACTTCAAAAGTTCCCCTAAGGTTGCTTCTCAGCTCCCGCTTCATATAATAAATACATAGGCATAAACAAAGTGGAAACCCAGGCTAGCAGGTGGTGTAGTGGCCGACTGCAGTTCGAGCCGCAGACTCTGCAGCCTGAAACTTATTCCAGGCGCATGCACAACCATACCCAAAATTCTGAGAGGAGAATGGAGAAGGGACTGCAGCATGGCCATCCCTCCTCCCCAATGAGGTGTGAAATTTTCACTTTCTCTCTGTTTCTCCTGCCAGTGCATGAGCCCAAGAGCAAAAATCCCTCTTAAAATAAGCAAACCAACCAAGTGGAAATATTTCCCCTTCTTGTCTGTGTGGGACTTTTTCTGCAGAAGCTTTTTTAGGTAGACCTCTGAACCTTGACACAGACAACGATCACACCTGCTAATTTAGCTGGACAGCTTCTCAATCATTCCTTCCCTCACTAATAACCACAGATTGTCAAATACAATCTGATACCCATATGTCCATTTTCCTCCTCTAAGGTACCTCCCTCAGCATTGAAGGGTCTGCAGGTATGGAAGCAAAACAGCCACACAACTTGAATATTACTGCTAGCAGAATTTACTATCACCGTGACTCATTTAAGACTTAGTAGACAATGATTAAGAAAAAAAAAAATTTATACCTCCAAATCCAGATAACAAAGATCCTCTAGGGGTATTCCTCTTTTTTTTTAAATTTTTTAAATTTTGCTATAGGTCATATACACTCACTAAAGAGACAGGGACAGAAAGAAAGCACCACCAGGGGGATGGCCAGGCCACAAGCCCTTCTCTTCCATTCTCCTTTCAGGATTCATGTTTTTCGAGTCACCTGGTCCAGGATTGGACCACTCTAACTACCACACCACAGTTTGCTCAACTTCCCACTATCCTTTATCTCTTCTTGGTCCCAGCATTAAGAATAAAGTCCAACATTCCAATAGTCAACAAATGTTTCTTCAGATTAATGTTTTTTAAAAGTTTATGATCTAGCTATGACAAAAGAAAGAGGTGATGCTTTTACAGGAAAAACTGATAGTTTGTTTGCAGACATCCTAAATGGTGGATGGAAGCTTGGGTTTTTCAAGGATTTTTAATATTCGTATTTCTGCTGGTAGGTCTTCAAGTTACTATGACTTCTGTTACTAGGCTAACTACAAAGATGAGTGGCTCTTTAAATCAGGCCATTTTATAAAGAGCTATGATCCTTAATCATCATCGCACCCTGAAAAGGGCCACTATCAACTATACTCAAATACTACAGAATTGCCTATATTGTCTGAATCTTGACTTAAGGGGTATAGCTTGAGCTTTGGAAATTATCCACTTGACCGCCATGTATTAGTATCCTGGTGTGCTGTGCCCTCCCAAGTCTTAAATGTTTCATATACAGTCATCCATCAAGTGCTGAACGGTCTGGCTTGTCATATCAGTAAACACATGGAGAAAGAGCTGCTAAACTCGCTCGACATTGTGACTGGTGAATTCCTTGCCTGAGACCAGAGAAAACTTGTGAGCTCTCTGGTGAGACCAAGAAAAAGTCATTTATGATGGTGACAGAGTGGTGCCGCTGCCGTTAGTTTTGGTCAATTGCTCAAATTAAGGGAAGTCATTAAACTGAACTATATTGGCCTGAGAAGGCCTCCATACACCAGTTCGAGTTCCTGTACGCAAACCACAAGCTTGGTGGAAGTCTGTTTCATTAGCAGCCAATCACAGCAGCTTAACTTCATCCAATCACAGCCCACCCTTTATGCTGTGTTCAAGGAGGCAAACATGCAGCTCTAACCAATTATTTCAGGGTCCCCTTCCCTTACTTCCAGTTTTTGTACCTCACTTTCTAATTCTTGCACATAAATGTTACCCCCACCACATGGCTATCTGGAGTTCCCTGGAAGCCATTCTGGGGGCTACCCTATTTTATTTTAATTTAATTTAAACCAGCAGATAGCTTAAAGATTACATCACTGGACTCCCACATGGCTGACCATGGTTCAACTCCTGGACCTGGCAGCTTTAAATTCATACTGGGCACTTGTATGTGCATGACCAAAATCCTGAGAGGAGAATGAAGGAGAAGGAATTGTGGCATGGCCAATCCCCCAGGGGTGTGTTTTCTCACTTTCTGTCTCTCTGAGAATGCATGCACCCTATAGCAAAAATCTCTCTTTTTTTGGGGGGGGGGAGAGGTTTTTGCTATAGGGCGTGTGCGCTCACCAGACAGACAGAGAGAGACATAGAGACAGAAAGCGAGAAATCACCCCCCAGAGGGGATGGTCATGCCGCAATCCCTTCTCCTCCATTCTCCTCTCGGGATCTCGGGCACGCACGCACACGTGCCCGGCGTGAGTTTTAAGCCACCGGGTCCGGGACTCGAACCACGGTCGACTATGTGGGAGTCCAGCGACATAGCCATTACACTAACTGCTGGTTCCCTGCAAAAATCTCTCTTAAAAAAAAAAATAGTGTCCAACATTTCATTATTTAATAATCTGTTCGCATTTTAAATGAAGACAATGTATATAAAAATGCTTGTTCAGATTAGTATTTCCGTTGTTCTGGCTTATTAAGATAGCAGCACCTGTTCCTTCCAGGCTGACTTTGCCTGTATTTGCAAGTCACATCCATCTTCCACCACCACCTGAGGCCCCTTTACATTCTCATGTACTCTCCTTTGATTCAAAACATTTGAAAAACTTTCTCTGGCCTAGCTTTCTGATTCTTTGTATTTGCTAGAAGTATTACCTTCCTGTTGTTGGAAGAAGTTCTAAAGCACGGTGATACTTTTTTTTTTTTTTTTTTTGAGAGAGATTTGCTATAGGGCGCGTGCGCTCGCCAGACAGACAGAGAGAGACATAGAGACAGAAAGCGAGAAATCACCCCCCAGGGGGGATGGTCACGCCGCAATCCCTTCTCCTCCATTCTCCTCTCGGGATCATGGGCACGCACGCACACGCGCCCGGCGTGAGTTTTAAGCCACCGGGTCCGGGACGTGAACCGCGGTCGACTACGTGGGAGTCCAGCGACATAGCCATTACGCTAACTGCTGGTTCCCAAGCACGGTGATACTTAACCATCGTTCCACTATTCAGAAGTTTTCAACGTTTATAAGAATTGTGAACTGTGGTATTTAGAGTTTATTTATTCTGCCGTCAGGGGTCAGCTGGTAGACAAGTGCTTAGAACAAGGTCAGATTAGCACAACATGAAAGATAAAGCAAGCAGGATCTAAAATAGGTAACATTTTTAGAAAGTAAGAGCTCACTATGATTGAAATATAAATTATATTGTTATTGAAAAGCACTGAACTGGAAAGTTAGAAATTCCTCAGTTGTAGGTTAGG